TTGGGTCAACAAAAACCTCTGAAAGTACATTCCGAACCTTAAGGGTTTGTTGTGCTGCATGACTCTTCGTAGCGCCGTTGTCCCACAAAAAAAGGAAATGGAGAAAAAACGTTGATTTTAGATCGGCCACTTATTTTTACATAAATTCTGCAAATCCTGCAGCAGTCGTTTGGAACAATGTTGGTGTCTTTATAAAGTGGTGTGCTTATTCCTGGACTCTTGTCGCCCATCGTTAACACATGCTTTATGCTCCTATCAATGTAAATCCCGGTGGGGGGGAAGTGCGGGCAAGGGGAGGGGATTTGATGCCTGGGACTATCCCCGCTGTCGGGCTTTTGATCGTGCGAAGCGACCCCCGGGGTCGGGACATTTGACTTTGCCGACGGAAGCCTGGTATTAATTCAGAAGCAGTTACCAAGTCCGTCCCTCGAGGCTTCCTGAAAGTCACGCTGTTGGAGAAAGGTATGAAGTTTTCATTTGTTTTAATCGCCATAATCCGATACTTTACACTGTCATCTAAACAGATAATGTCTATTTTGAGAAAGTTTTTGTCTTCAAGTTCCCATCTGATTGTAAAACTCGATTGAAATCGAATTCCAGCATGAAAGTCAGAGGATTTTTTATGGGTCACTGATCCGACCTGTTCCGACATGTTGAGCAGATGTTATAAAGCATTTTACGTTTTATTAATATTATATAGCACGGTCAATCTTCCTGGAGTGATTTTGTTGTTCAAGACAAGAGATGCTAGTGGAGAGAAAAAATACTTAATTACAGCGAGTAATTTAATGGAGCTTCCGTTAACCGTAAATAAAAGTAGTAACAACGTGTTTGAAATGTTCTTTTATTCGTTTTACATAGTATTATAGCATTGTTTGTTTAGATCTTTTCCCCTGGGGTGGGGGCTTTTTTGACACTTTTGATTGACCTTTCGTTTCCCACCCTGGGGAATTTGATCGAAAAATTTTAAAATTTGTCAAATCCCCACCCCTTGCCCCCATTCCCCCCCTCACGGGGTTTACATTGATAGGTGCGTTAGCTTCACCCCGATTAACAAATCACTCTTTACCACCCAAGTGGAGATGGTTTGTTCATAACATAATTTCCCCAGTCTACCCCCACTTAAAAAAAATAGCGGCTGATAAGCACGTGTTTGCTAAATTGCCATTGGTCACTCTTTTTATTAGCAATTTGACGCGTTTGACAGCTGTCGTCTGCATGAAAGTGAGATTTGAGGCCAAGGTAACCAGAGGTTTTTCTCTCTCTCCTCGTCGCTTTCGCGACTCGTTGTCGCCGCTTCGTGGCTTGCTCTTGATCTCTTTCGCGAAGAAAAATCAAGAAAAACCTCTGGGACCAGGGTAGAATCTTATACAAAACCAACCGTTATTTCGCCAAATTTTAATGAACCACCTATCATTTCCAACAAGAAAGGAAAATCCCTGAAGTACATGCTCGTTAGAGCTAAAATATAAAAGGTCAACACAAGGTTTCACGCCGGTATGTATGTGCAGCCTGTGACCGCTTGCATTTTCGCATGTTAACCTTTAATTATTGCGCATGCTAATCCGCCGGAGAACTCAGTCCTTTTCTGTAAATACATAACAAGAACATAACCTTTATTCACTTCACTTAACAAAAGGGACCACTGTTGGACAATGAAATACTTTAAACTTGAAGCTAAGTCGAAGTAACCTGGCTTGATTCACACTGAATAGTTTTGAAACGAGAGATACTTGATTACATATATATAGCTGAATTGTAAATCTTACTCCCCTTTTCCTTCAGGATTAAAATGCTGTAATCCTTGCTTGGAAATCTAGCTTGGCAACTCAAATGAACCCTATTAAGCTGACTTAAAAGTTAAACTACACTACCCCTTCTTGGTATGATAAAGAAAGGGTCAACATCAAGATAATGCACGCATACATGCATGCAACGTTCCAGCTTCTCTTTTTCATGTGATATGTTGCAATTTATCGCGCGATAAACTGACTAATTTTCGCACGATAATTCAAACTTATCGCGCGATAACTTGAGCAAAAAAAAAATATTGTAATGTCCCTTACGGGCCACCGTAGTTTCCTGTATTTATCTCACCTATTGTATGGAATATGTGTGAAAATCTTCCCCAGTTATGAATCGGTATATTTCAAAGAGCTACAAAACCAGCAAAAATACTGTTGACCGACAATATACAAAACGGGGGCAGCTGTAGTGTCAACTATTACTAGTTATCTTTGTTTATTAAATACAGTGTGAAGATTGTTTTCTGATATCTTTGTTAATGGCGTCTTTGTTCCCAAACTTTTTGTCTAAACAAACTATCACACTAAGCCACGCACAAATAATTCAGCCGAAGAAGCGACGACCGGAAATACGTTGGTGATATCCTGTGATGTATCATCAAATAAACAATGAAAAAAGACTCTTAAATAATTCTTTTGTTTTAACCTGATAACGCGAAATCAAAGCAAAATAACACGGCTTTCCAAATAAATCACCCTCGCAAGACAACAACTTTAAGTTCCTTACCACTATTGAAATCGGTGAACAGCAAATAAATGAATCAATGATTACCAAAACTCCCCGGAGCCGAAGAGATTATTAACCATTATTTCATACTGAGCGATATCCTTTGAATGTTCCTATGTGGCATTGTGACATTGCCAACGTTAGGAAGATTGATTATGGTACACTCACACCTTCTCTCTTGTCTTTAAGTTTAGTACGCAAATTGTGATGTTGTGATGCTCAGAAATTGCAAGGCCCAATCCCCCAATCCCCAAATCGGGCACCAAGTGTCACCTTGAGGAAGCCCGGAAGAATAACCCCGGTGTACTGGTTACCGTAGTTTGCGAAACGAAATGGAGCGAAACGAAATGAAACGAAACGAAATGGAACGAAACGAAATGAAAATCTGTAGTTTGCGAAATGAAAATCTGTAGTTTGCGAAATGAAAATCTGTAGTTTGCGAAATGAAAATCTGTAGTTTGCGAAATGAGAATTTGTAGTTTGCGAAATGAAAATCTGTAGTTTGCGAAATGAAAATCTGTAGTTTGCGAAACGAAAATCCTCTGGAGAATGCCGACTTCAAATTCAGCGTGAACAACGGAAGGAAGAACGGAGCAGAAGGAACATCGCTTAGCACAGCGAAGGCAACGCCGACAACAAGACACAGAGGAACTGAGAGGAATAGGAGATTGGAATCAGAGGCATTATGATCGTTTTACACTGTCGAAAACCCAGATTTCTTAGTTTGCCGGTTTCCCCGCCGATATACAGATCAAAGTCTTCAAAGTTCCAGCTCTGTATTACGGCCCGAAGAATAATAATTTTATTTTTCGGGCGAACTGCACGGGGCCATATTTGTTCTTTGTTTTTTTTCTTTTTCTAAATCCGGACGCAGAAATAATGCTAAATCTGCTTTTCAATACACTGTTAACAATAACACCACATAATACGCAAAAAAGAAGAAGAAGAAGAAGAAGAAGAAGAAGAAAGAACAACGTATGGACCTTTAAGACGATATTCGCGGTGGGTCACCCATCCCGTTCGTAACCCCGACCGACAGGGCTTAACTTGAGCGCCTGAGCTTAAGTTAAATTTTTCTGGGCGAAACAGCTTTTTGCGGGGAATTTTCTGTTTAGAATATCCGAGTAGACGCAACGAGAATAGACTACGAGTAGTCCGCCATTTTTCCTACAACTACAGATTTTCATTTCGTAAACTACAGAATCTGTAGTTTGCGAAATGAAAATCTGTAGTTTGCGAAATGACAGTCTGTAGTTAACGAAATGACAATTTACTTTCTCGTTGCGTCTACTCGGATATTCTAAACAGAAAATTCCCCCCAAAAAACTGTTTCGCCCAGAAAAATTTAACTTATGCTCAGGCGCTCAAGTTAAGCCCTGTCGGTCGGGGTAACGAACGGGATGGGTGACCCACCGCGAATATCGTCTTAAAGGTCCATACGTTGTTCTTTCTTCTTCTTCTTCTTCTTCTTCTTCTTCTTTTTTGCGTTTTATGTGGTGTTATTGTTAACAGTGTATTGAAAAGCAGATTTAGCATTATTTCTGCGTCCGGATTTAGAAAAAGAAAAAAAACAAAGAACAAATATGGCCCGGTGCAGTTCGCCCGAAAATTATTATTATTCGGGCCGTAATACAGAGCTGGAACGTTGCAGACTTTGATCTATATATCGGCGGGGAAACCAGCAAACTAAGAAATCTGGGTTTTCGACAGTGTAAAACGATCATAATGCCTCTGATTCCAATCTCCTATTCCTCTGTCTCTTGTTGTCGGCGTTGCCTTCGCTGTGCTAAGCGATGTTCCTTCTGCATCCGCGATTTCTTGTTGACGTCTTCTCCTTCGTTCTCCAGAGGATTTTCATTTCGCAAACTACAGATTTTCATTTCGCAAACTACAAATTCTCATTTCGCAAACTACAGATTTCCATTTCGCAAACTACAGATTTTCATTTCGCAAACTACAGATTTCCATTTCGTTTCGTTCCATTTCGTTTCGTTCCATTTCGTTTCGCTCCATTTCGTTTCGCAAACTACAGTAAGCCGGTATTGAAAGCATTGAATAATTTATATTCTCAAAGCATCTATTTTTTGCGTGTGAAATTACGGCGTGGAACGAGTTGAAAAGCTTCGCTCTGCTCTATGTTCTTTTTCGTCGGACAGGAGACGGATTCAAACGTTGTAAGTGCAAAATCAAATATGCGCAGCCGACGAGTTGTCTTCAGAAGATCCATGTGCTTCGTCTTCGTTGTTGCATCATTTGGATATTTTGGGTGGAAGTCCACGTTTCGATCCAAAACCGTCAGTAATTCTGTTGATATATTGAAAGTGCCGATTGAACTAGACAGTCCTTTCGAGCAAGGACTCGAGCGCTCCCCGCTCGTAGAAGAAAACAAGTCAAGTTTAATTGCCAAGACAAATCTCACCGTCGCCTCTTTTTCCTACGAACATCACAGGCAACACGATAATCTGGCCTCTACACATGCTAATAAACATCATACAACGCTGATTACAACAAGTATTTGTTTGAAAGACTACTTCCTTCTTATTCTGGTCTCTTCTGCTCCATCTAACGTCGGAAGGAGGAGAGGCATCCGTTTAACTTGGGGGGCTGAGAATTCTACGAAACCTTGGTGGAAAACGTATTTTCTTGTTGCTCAAACGCGAGACCGCAACCTGTCGGAATCGCTGCTACACGAAGGTGACGCCTTCGGAGATCTTATTCGAGCAGATTACTTTGACGATTATTGGAATCAGACCCTAAAGATACAAATGGGTTTTGAATGGGCTTCCAGATATTGTAATTTTTCTTTTCTTCTAAAAGTAGATGACGATGTTTTTGTGAACATGAGCGCGTTACTTTCCAATTTAACTAATCGTAGCATGCCTAAGTATAAATTGTACATGGGATTGCTCTGGCAAAAACTTCCAGTGAGAAGATATAAAGGAGACAAATGGGAAGTGACCAAAGAAGAGTATGAACCCGACTTCTACCCCGATTACTGCCCGGGGTTTGGATTTGTCCTCTCCTTCGATGTGGTCCATTCGTTTGTAAACTTATATCAAGTTGTAAAGCCGTTTAAAATTGACGATGTTTACGTTGGAATGCTTGCGGAAAGAGCCGGTGTACGTGGGACAAACAACTACGGATTTCGATTGTATCTTCCCCGGCCTGACGTTCCTTGTAACTTTGACAATCATAGTGCAATCGTATGGCATGGTGTTACAGAAGAATGTGTATTCCAACTTTTTCACTCTGCTGCACACCACTGAATAGCCCTCTATTATGATTTTAGTGCGTTTTATTATATTCATGATTCGTTTTATTAATGTCAAGGCAGTAAGGAAAAGGCCTGGAGTTAGCAGCGATAGTTAACTTTCGCCTTGTAGACACCTGGCTAATCACGGGTACCCCCGGCAAAAATAACTGCCGTTTGACTGAATAAACTTTTGCTACTAACGGACTTAATGCTTAAAGACACATTCGTCTGTGCATATGACCGCTTTCCATTCAACCAAAACTTTCGAAAATTGAATATGCCAAGAAAACATATCCAGGGGCATTTTTTGGTAAAAGCTGTTAATGACTTCTGTCTTCTATTTATAGAAACTCAGAAAAACAAACTGAAATTAACATAAGCGAATTCCTGACTTTTGTCTGGCCTTTGTCATTAAAATTTAATGTTTGTCTGTCTTTTGTCATTAAAATGGAGAAAATGGCAAAACTCAGACAAAAATTGCGAATTTCCGAACGGAATGTCGTGTTCCATTTACGTTTCTCGTAGTTTGTACCAGTTCCAGGTCCACGGTCGGGCACCCGGCCACGTACCGGGGTTTACGACCAAATGGAACAACTTTTTACCAATCGGAAATTCCACTTTTGCTACCACCGAAATTTCCGGGTTTTTTTCGTAAATGGAAAGCGCCCCTTGTCTCTTTTTTATTACACTGTCAGGTCAGATGATGTAAAAGTACTCAAATCGCGCTGAAACTTCGTAAAAACAAAGGCAACGACTCCAGGTAACAATATTTACACTTTATTGATAACGTTTATCGCTATTACTTCATTTATTTCATCTAAGTTTCTAACTCTATTTTTCCCATACAAACTCTCATATTACGCCACAGGTGGCCCATATTACGCTTGGGCCAGCTGTGTATTTACATGTAGTTCGTTATTTAACGCATTAGACTGGTTTCCTACTCATAGGCCTTGTCAGTAACTGTGCTCACATTGTGGAGCCTACTCTATCCCAGAGTATATGTAGCTCTCATATCTTTGTTGACTTACCCTGTGTCAACAAGCATAGCTGAGCGTAGCTTCAGCGGTATGAAGAGACTGCAAACCCCTTTACGTAGGACCATGACAGACGAGACTGATTAAGTTCTCTTGCAATTCTGCATATGAGCACAAGGACGTAATTGATATTGATGGCATTATAACAGAATTTGCCTGTCTAAAGGGTACACATCTCGCCCTTTGCTTCTAACCTCCTTGATAGCGTCACTGTTTTCAACCTCGTTCCCAGGGTTCTCTCCTACCCGCCCTAGTTTTGATACACCACACTTTTGTGAACGCCCCTCCCCCCTCCCCCCCTCCCCGCCGGGACGTAATAAACGATCGGTCCCTACGTAGAAAATGCAGTCACGCGAAACAAGCCGTGCACACGAAATCAATTCGCCTCTGAATGAGTGAAGAAAATTTCCATAAGGGGTTGAGTAGAATTAATTATACAGATTATATTATATATCCTACGGCTTTAACTATTGTTATAGATATGAAATAAATCTTGCCCGGATAATGTACGCAGCTTATTCATCGATTTCTGCACAGCAAAGAAAAAACTGGCCGGATATTGGGTATCTGACATCAATACTTAATGAATTTTCGAGCATCGGCATTGTTGCGTAACATTCAAAATATAAGAATTTGTATGGGAGAAAAAACCTATCGTTTCTGTAACGAACGAAAATGAAAGGATTTCAATAAAAAACAGTTTACCTTACTTAAAATGTGTGTTACATCTCTCCTGTGTGGTCCACGGGCCGATTTATGGACGTTTTCTGGGTTTTTATGTAAACGGTTTTCTCTCTATATAAAGGTTTACCCCGGGGGGGGGGGGGGTACTCCCACACATTAACCTTTCCCGTCTAAAGCCATCGACTGTAGCCTGTGTACAAACGTCCCCCCTCCCTCAGGAGGGACGACGTCTGTACACAGGCTAATCGACTGAGGCTCGGCTTGAACTCCGCGTTACCGTTGAAAGATAGCGACACGGCCTGAGACTCAAATTACTCACACTCGGGGTGGGAGACAAACAATGCCAGTGAATAATGGGACGCTCACTTGTAAACACAAAATCTGGGGGGAAAATTGCTTATGTTTGAGTCCCTATTTTAAAGTCTTCCCTGTTTTTAATGTCCTTGAAACTTGCAGGGAATATTTCTTGACGATTGATCTCGGAATTGTCGAATTTATAAAAAAAATTATCGAGCGGTTTTTGGAAAAATGCGACATTCTTAGGCATGGACCAAATTACCTCCAAAAACTGTATCAAAAGCAGCTGAATGCAAGTTAATAAAATTCTTCTTACTCGCGATCGCCAAGAGCAATTCCCCTCTTTTTTTGTATGCAGTTTTCAATGGAATCAAACCACTATGAGATGAAGCTGCATTCCCAAAGCTTATCATTTTCTTAATATATTAGCGAATTGAGCGGCTGGCATGCTATTTTACTGCTTTGATGATTCTTAAAACTGCATTTCGAAATAATTCGAAAACGCTCTCATAGAATTTCTTCAAACTTTGCTATAATGGAGGCAATTATGGCAGGTACATACTCCCTTAAGCGATTTCTTCAAAAAACTCCTGGTACAGAGAAACACAAGGATAAATGAAAAACGTAATGGCGTTATTACGTTGCCATGGCGACTCCGATTGCAATAAAACCCAGATCATAAGAAACTTTCATCTTTATGTAATACAGTTGTGGTAACCTTTTTTCGATATCTTTACTCATGCCGACGTAGTTAATGCTCAAACTTGGGAGGTATCGCCCTAAAAAAATCCAGTCGAGCCACCTTAATGCATGAATTTTAGTAAATTATTATTATATTACTGGGAATATTGACAGCGAGCAGAGTTAAATTCGACAGAGTTCAGAGAGTTAAATTCGACGTTTGAATCAAATGCCGCATTTAACTATTTAAGTCGACTAAAATAGGAATTAAGTTCGGCACATGTGAGATTCGACGTTTGAACTGGGCCTTAGGTTCAGTTCGTGAAAAGTTTGGCGTCTGTCTAAACCGGGTCTTTAAAAGGTACCTTTTTTAGCACATGGTCATGCCTATCTCGCTCAGCTATGCGTATCAGGCCAAACTATGCACCTGCCGCCGCACCTAAATACAACTCCTATTGGCTACCTGTTGTGTCTATTGTGTAAACTATTCTTTACGGATCATTGTTATTCAAAAATGGAGTCCAGTCTTTTACAGTATAACTGGAAAGAAAATTTGCCGTACAAGAGAGAATAAGATCATTTTTATCGCAATCTCAGCCGAAAATCGCGATTGCACCCACAGTCCATCCCTACACTGAAATGGAAGATTTCGCTGAGTCTCTAAAGTGGGCCTTTTAACATACAGAGATTAATTTTATTCGTCGCATCAGCGGTCGCATGTTACTACGATCTACACGCAAACAGCCGTTATTCGTCGATATGTTCATGAGTAGAAAGTTTCTTATGAAAAAGGCGATATACTGCTTCGCTTTTGTGGTGTTTTGTTTTTTTGCTAGGTGTATGATCAACTTAATAGAGACGGATCCTTGGACTGCCTTGACACCGACCGATGAGCCGAACCAGTATGTGACACAGAAATCGTTCGTGGAATTATTCATGCGATTGCAAAACACAACACATCCACAAGGACACCAATCGACTTTGATTTCTACGAGCAAATGCTCAACTCATCTCTTTCTTCTTATTTTGGTTTCTTCTTCTCCTTCGAACATCGAACGGAGGAAAGACATTCGCAGAACTTGGGGAGCTGACAATTCTACGAAACCTCGGTGGAAGGCATATTTTCTTATTGCTCAAACGCGAGGCAGAAACCTGTCGCAATCGCTGCTACACGAAGGTGACGCCTTCGGAGATCTTATTCGAGCAGATTACTTTGACGATTATTGGAATCAAACCCTAAAGATACAAATGGGTTTTGAATGGGCTTCCAGATATTGTAATTTCTCTTTTCTTCTTAAAATAGATGATGATGTTTTTGTGAACATGAACGCTTTACTTTCCAATTTAACTAATCCTAGCATGCCTAAGTATAAATTGTACATGGGATTGCTCTGGCAAAAACTTCCAGTGAGAAGATATAAGGGAGACAAATGGGAAGTGACGAAAGAAGAGTATGAACCCGACTTCTACCCCGATTACTGTCCGGGGTTTGGATTTGTCCTCTCCTTCGATGTGGTCCATTCGTTTGTAAACTTATATCAAGTTGTAAAGCCGTTTAAAATTGACGATGTTTACGTTGGAATGCTCGCGGAAAGAGCCGGTGTAAATGGAACAAATAACCACGGATTCAAAGAAAAACCATCTCCTCCTATCGTCCCTTGTACTTTTGATAACACAACGTTGTTATGGCATGGTATAACAGGAGAGTGTCTATTCAAACTTTTTCGCGAGTCACTTATGAGATATCGTCTACCCCGTTACAAAGCTAACATAAGTTTCCTAGGCCACTTTTGAAAGCTCATACATATACTGTCTACTCTTAAGGTTTGGTACTGAGAGTTTAAACAAGATCGAAAGAAAGAACTTTCGTCCTTTTGTGTCTTTCGTGATTCATACAGTTGAGGTAATTCCGCGTGAATAGAATACCTAATGTCCCGGTCAATTCCAAAACCGCTCATTCCCGCCCCGGGCATTTGACTGGAGTTTTGCTCCGTATAGTAGGGAATTCAACTGCATTGGTTACCTGTTCACTTTCGGATTCTTTTTAAAGTTTTATTGTTAGTTTATAAGGCGCTAAATGGTATAGCACCATTATATATCACGGAATTACTTAGATATCGTACATGTTCACGTACGCTACGCTCTACTGATCAAAAACTTCTGGCAGTTCCGAAGTCAAGACTTAAAACATACGGAGACAGGGCCTTTTCCGTTGCTGCACCTAAACTCTGTAATGAGCTTCTATTAGATCTTAGAAGTTTAGTTACAATTAATTTATTCAAGAAACTCTTAAAGACTGATCTTTTTAAAAAAGCATATAATGGGATTTATTGTGATATTTTTATAAATAAGACTGCTAATACGTTTTTAATTTATTCATATTTTATTACCAGTGGGATCTTTTTAAATTATTTTAATATTATGATTTGTAAAGCGCTGTGGTCAGTTAGTGGAGTTAGCGCTATCACAGGGTCCAGAGGAGATGTGTTTGTCGTTAGAACATCAAAACCCGTCGAAAACCTCTGAAAAAATGGGTTATTTTGATCGCGTTACGGTTTCGTTACACATGGTAGGTTTTTGATACATTTCTTGATACACTTTAATAAGCCTACTTAAAGTACCTACCTTACACATTCTATAGACCGCAAACCAAGAGACTGAGGGCTCGCAAGATCGGCTTACGATCGGCTGCCGTGCGCCAGCGAGGATATGGCTTGCGGTTATTGATTTTCAAAAGTCGATCTGGGTCAGATAAGAAGCGAAGAAATCGTTTACAGTAGATTTATAAAGATCCCATTGGGCTAATTAATCGTGCTAAGCGATAGGTATAGACATTTTTCAAGGTAAGTAATTCATTTATTCACACGAAACTCCTCTGGACCCTGTGGCGCTATATAAATTATGTTATTATTATTATTATTATTAATTTGACCCCAAACCTTCTGTATAGACGAGTGCTAATCTCGTACCCAGATCTCACTCTGTTTTACACCAAAAAGTGTGGCAGTGGGAGATCTGGGTACGAGATTAGACGAGTGCGTGAACCCGCTGCAATGCAGGCTACCAGGGTGACCGCAAAATAGCTGATTCAAAAAAGGTTGCTCGGAGCATTGGGAATTGGGTATTATGAAGCTATTGTTTGGTGGTCACTTAAGTAAATCATCGCATTGTTCCATATGCCCATAACATTACATAACTAACATAACTTTATTATTTATACATCGCAAGATACATGGGTATATGATCTAACGCCCTTTGCATTACAATGCTTGTAATACTACAATGAAATGGAAAAAAAATTAGAGCTTTTCTAAATAGTTAATAAATAGAAACAAGATAAAAATATTATATATATATATATATATATATATATGCATGCAAAAAATCTAAGTTAAAATACTATAGGTTATAAGCTAACAGCTAATTTAAAATGATGAGTTTTTAACTGTGCAATAAAAGTTTCGAGACTGCCTAAAGCTCTCAACTCGTCTGGAAGGGCGTTCCACAGAGTCGACGCGACTGCAAAGAACCCCCTGTCTCCTGTTGTCTTGTTGGGCTTGTTGGGCAGATCGAGCAGTAAGTGTTTTGTATTTGATCGCAGGTTATAATTTGACTGTGGCTTAAGTCTAATTAATTGATGAATATATGTGGGAGCACTACCATGTAGAACTTTGAATGTGTATACAACCAATTTAAACAGGAGAAATGTGGTCAAAACTCTTGGTATTGGAGATGAGCCTTGCGGCAGCGTTTTGAACCGCCGTACAGAAGACTGTTACAGTAGTCTAGGCGTCCAATTACTTGTGCTAAAATTAGTGTTTGTGCACTCTTGCACAAAAGGTACTTTCTAATGCGTCTAATTTTGTATAGTAAACAAAAGGGTAGACTACATGTTTTAGTAATATGAACGTTAAAATTCAACTGCGAGTCAAACCAAACTCCGAGATTCCGCGCCTTGCTTACAATAGCAACACTAGTATCACCAACGGTCAGAGTACCTAGGTTGACTTTGCTAAGTTGTTGGCGTGTTCCGGTTTATAACATGTCCTCAGTTTTGTTCTCATTAAGTTTCATTTTGTCAGCTTGCTTATGGCGCGAATACACTGTTCCATGGCATGTACTCCCTCTGCTTCATTGCCCAAATGTCCAATGTCCAATTATCAAAGCAACCCTTTTTGATTTAGCTGTATACAGGTCAACTTTGCAGAAAATATCTAAGGCAACTGAAAATAAGGCAGATGTCTTTCTAGTCTACGCGACATGCTTTCATGAAACTGTTCACGATAAATCGTGTTTATATAAAAGCGTTCGGCAAATTGAAAATGGCTTTGAACGCGGTTTTGCAAAACACTGGCTAAACTCCATTTAAATAACTGGCCTTTAGCGTTCCTGCGGCATTATTTATTCATTTATTTCAAAATCACAGTTCTAAAATCACTGACAATAATAACTTTAGATCATAATGATTTGAAAATACTATGCAAAGGAGGGTGCTATTTAAACAGCTGCTTAAAGTTCCAAAGTCTGCATTTTGCTGAGGTGGAATCTTAACTGTATTAATGGCGTACATTACCGAGTGTCACCAAGATTTTTTTTCATCTTCGAATAACCGCCCCATTCTTCTGATTGGGTGCGTTTTAGCCCGGACCTACTTATATGCGAGTTGGTTATGTTTTTGAATCGTGTTGTTCGGCAGGAACAATTTAATCGATTTCTATGATTTTTGGCATCCTCAATAAAGACTGGCGCAACTTCAAGAAAATGTTATTTATTTTCTTGTAGGTATAGGCTTTCGATTTGACTGCAAAACAATCCGTATTTTTGCGTATTCAAGTACGCGCGAGCAGTCAAACAAAAGGTCTGGAATGAGGCTGAAAACAGAGAGCGAGACTGGGGAGAGATCACGCTAAAAATACCCTTTTTTTTTCTCGCTTCGCGCGCTTAAGACTCTTACGACACGCTTTACCAATTTCTTTACTGATTTTGAGAAAAAAAAAACCCGACTGTTTTGCAGTCTAGCTTTCGATATATCGGCATATGATTAAAACTGCACTTTTATATAAAAAATGTCAGTAACTTGGAAACTCTACGACAGATTTGTCTCTAATTTTAGCAAATAAGCCTCAGAACTCTCTAATTTTATATCTGCACGTTTGAAGTCAATCGTGACCGTTGAACTCGCTGCACAAATACCTGGTCAAATTTAATCTAAATGGTTGTACAATTCTACGCAGCCCCCCATTTTCAGGTGCACAAAAAGGAATGACCCCCCCCCCATTTACACCAGCCCAACCCCCCCCCCCCTGTAATAAATGACCGTCCCTAAAAACTGGTCGTCGATTTCTGTAGATGCTATATTTTGCGTTGTTGCGATTTTTTTCGAAAAGAGAACTGCAAAAACACAATAACTTTGATAAATAGAAGTTCTTTAATGTTGCTCCGCATTCAGCATAAAGTAGTTCAGTTCTTGTATTACGAACTGTATTCGCCGTAGGTTTCTGATAACTCTATTTTTTGCAGTAAGGCTCTGGGCAAGAATACCCTTGCAGATAGGAGATAGTCCGTCGACACTCTTCCCCTATTTGTGCGTCAACTTTCACAAATGTGTTAGCGTTGCATTCAGTGAGGTTAAATTTGATCAACATTTTGTTCAGTGAGTTCTACCTACAAGAAAATCAATAACATTCTCTTAAAGTTGCAACGTTCTTTATTAAGGATGCCAAAAATCATAGAAATCGGTTTAATCAGTTGTTCCTACCGAAAAACGCGTTTTAAAAGAACGGGTCACCTTAAGCTCGAAAACAACAAAAAAAAACAACAACAACAAAATCCCAGCAAGCAAATTTGACGGCTACCTTATTAGAGGAAATTAACGATGCACTTTATTAACGCGATTTTAAAAAAATTGCGTCAATTTCTCTCAATTTACGTCGATGTTAATGTAAACACTATTTTACATCACTGTTGTTTTACAGCACCTTTATTTCAATAGCAAAACCTCGTCTGCTCATAGTTCCACTATCAACCCCTCGGAGTCACTATCTAACATTTCGTCTTTAAGAGTTCAAAATGTCTTACGACTGGTCAGCTGTATTGATCCGTTTCCCCGAGGGAATAGCTAACTATTTCATTCTTTCTTCCTAAAATTTTCATGGTCCGTACTGCAGCAAATTCGCGTAAAATAAAGTTAGGCCACATTGTTTTCGAAAATTTCGCGTTAATTTGATGTATGTAAACCTAACTTTCAGAAAATTCGCGTTAATTTTGTGTGACGTCAATTTTATTTGCGTTGTCAACGTGCATCGTTCATGTCCTATAATAAGGCAAACGTGTTCGCTGCAACAACCTGGTTCCCAGGGTCCTCTCCTGAGAGGGGACGAGTACGAAAGGACAGTGGGAACGAGGTAGTTGCTGCAAAAAAAATTCTGCCCTTGAATGTCAAAGTTGTTTACTCTAGACAAAGGTAAATGAAGAACTTTTCATCTTAAAGACGATAACGACAAATTTATGAGTAGAAATTGTGACTGGCAGTAGGACCAGTAGATGTCTTTACGGCAAACACTGATAATGACACAAATCTTGTCGTAACTCGAACTGTACATTTTGCATGACCACTGGACCGCGATTGCTCGTATGTATTGGCAAAGTTTATCACTTGTTTGCCCCCTGAAATACCACGTGACATTGCTTTTATCCCATCGATCCTAAAGGGCGAGCAAAGATGGCGGGCATCATGAATAAGGTCTATATTAAAAGGGCATGCAATTATTAGTTCCACTTAAGGCCCTTTTACATAGAGGTGGGGGACCTCAGGTAGGTGAGGTAACCCGCTTAGGTGGGGTAACCCGCCTGTCCATATAATCTCTTATTTTAATTTGATCACGTTCACATCATGATAGGTAGGGTGACCCGCCGCGGGTGAGGCCCGGTTCAGACGCTTCATCCACTCATTTGCTGAACCTAATTGAACTTTGCATTCCACCTTTTCGTCCTCTTCGATAACTTCTCGGAAACATGGCTCACAATATTCGACTGAACTACCTGCTTTGCAGCCCTTGACAGTTTCATCATTCTCGAAGACAGAACAAGGCATACAGAAGTATTCCTGCACCGTAAACAAGTATATTTTCTGTTCTTAAAGCAAGAGGAGCAAGATTGTTCTTCTTTACCCGAAATTTTCCTTAATTTAGTGTTCTGCGCATGGCAACTTCGTAAAAACGAGCGGTATTGTGGGAAAAAATCATAAATTCAATGTATGCATAATGTATGCATTTGGTTCGGCACTTGAGAGGAGCGCCGTATGAATCACCAGCCGCTCCAATGTCGAATAATGCGACAGACGCTGTCTTTTAAACAGGCTCTAAATATATGCGCATCATTCTTTCCCAAGTTGAAATACGGCGTACCCTCTAAATATCTTGTACTTAGGGAGAGGACGGGCAGGAGGACGCTGTTTTTGCCTGCGCGAAACTGCAAACTAGTCGTTCAATCGTTCGCGGCCTCAGATGACACTACAACGGGAAAGGGGGGCAGGCAACGAGCAAGGGGAACGGGAAAATTAAAAATGGGAAGAAAAAAAGAGAGTGGAAGAAAAAAGAGACACCATTTTGTACGTGCATCACACTTCTTTCTTTGCCGTCACTGCACGACTCGTGACAAGGACGTGAAATTTCCTTATGCGAAGTTTTATCGACGACGTAAACAAAGGAGAACGAATTTTCCTTTTTAATTTTTTTCTAGACTTCAACACCAGGGAAATTCTTACACAATTAACATTCTAAGCGAGTTTGAATTATTTATAACAATGAGGTTTTCGCGCTGACGTCTCCGTCGCTAAGGCCCGGTTTAAACGTCGTATTTCACATGTGCCGAGTCTAAGGATACCCGATAGATTTTGCTTTGGCACGAAAACCATACCGGATAAGGTTTCTCTTCACACGTAAGAGCGGTGATTTCGGCGTAATTTCCGTAACGGAGCGAAGCTGCGTCGCGCTGATCTCGAAAGTGGAGCTTCACATATCGGATAGGTTCTGTGTCACCCTATGGTGCAGTATGAACAGGTATTCGGACCGTACTGGAAGTAAATAAATAGAAAAGAGAGCTTGATAACACCGAGACGTAAGTAAATACAGCTATTTCGAGAAAGGTTGTCCGATAAAGTGCATGCGACAACCCGAAAGGTATTGTGGGTGGTTTTGAGTTCACTGTTCTTCGAAAAAAAAAAAAGAAAGAAAGAATGGCACGAGAGGCCATGGACGTATGTTTGCGAGTGCTAAAGGAAAGCATTAAAAGTAGGTTCCACAGCTACAGTGTCAGGAACAGTGTATCCATCATATCCCATATTACCTTTCGGGATTGTCACGTGCACATTTTTCCGTGGTGCAGTACCTCACATAAACCTCTAATTTCAGTGGTCGACTAAAACAATATTGCTTTTTGTTTTCAGGGATAGGGGCATTGTTATGTCACCGTTTCTATTAATGTTTTCACAGCCAATTGTGTGAGCTGTTTAGACTACGAGTAGTTCCCCATTTTTCCTCAGAGATAGTAGAGCGAGCGAGACGCGAGCGCGCGTGGAAATCACCCCACGCGAGAAAAGGCGACACGCGGCGGAGAGAGAGAAAAATGAGTCTCTCTCCGCCGCGTGTCGCCTTTTCTCGCGTGGGGTGATTTTCACGCGCGCTCGCGTCTCGCTCGCCCTACTATCCCTGAGGAAAAGTGGGGAACTACTCGTAGTCTATGAGCCGTTTTTTTTTCCGACAACCTTTCTCGAAATAGATGTATCTAGGAGTGAGGACTGGGATTTAGTGTACCAAACCCTCTCGGCCAACCGCTTCGGCACGATGTTCGATTTGTGTGAAGGACTTGTTGCAGTCCTGTGCTATTGGTTGCTGTTAACACTATACTAAATACCGTTTCGGGTCGGCACGATTAGCTATCCACATGCTCTCCTGCAATCCAGTATTGTGTAAACATAGCCTAATACAAGGGAGTGGGAACAATAGATTTTCCTCATTAGCATTAGATTCGACAAATTTGAAATGCGACGCTTGAAGTGGGCCTAAACTCCTCCTGTCACCGCCATCTTGAAAAATGAGAAGAGCCTGGAGACGAGGTTAGAAACAGAATGCTCGCGACTGTACAGTTTCATTTGGCATCATCTGAACAACGCTTGTAGGAAATATAAAACACACGTATTTATGTTGCACATCTCCTGAACGTTCCAAGCCTTCAAGACGGATGTGTTTCATCATGCGGTGCTCTCTTTCACAAAGAGTACTTCATGTTATCTCCACGAGTGACTCCACACATACACGTGTCTCTTTAGTGGACTAATACACATGTACGCAAAGGACTGATCGTGTGGTGAAAGTGAAGGATAAACCTGTGCGCCCTGTTCATCCTAAAACATAGTGACACACAAAACATTTTTAGGCAAAGTTGTGACTACAAATACTATTCATTCCAAATAATTCGCAGTTTATAATTGGCTTTAATCCGCCGGCTAATTCTTCATAAGCAGCTGGCGCTGACCAAATTTGGAAGAGGCAGGTAATATACAATAAGCTGATTTAGCAACAGAACGGGAACGTCATTTGACGACGGGAAAGCCTGCGGAAAGGACTAAACTCGACTTCCGGTGCCCAATTTCTCACTCGCCATTGATCAAGCCAGTTGTTTGATTTGCGAGGGCCGTCGTCAACTGACGTTCCCGTTCTGTTACTAAATCAGCCTAAAATAATCAAGCGACGGGGACACCAACGAGAACGGCGGAAAAACAATGTTTAGATCAGCAAAACAACAACTTTGCTCGTGCATCACGCTTTTTTGCAAGGAGAGAATGATCCATGTTTTTGTACAATTCTTTGCCGTTGTTGCACGAATAGAACGTAGAAACCTTCTAGTTTCACGTTTTACGTAGGACGCGAACACAAGGCAAAAATTTTCTTTTTCTTTTTCTGAAATTAGAAACAGTCCCTTAGAATTAAAAGTCCTAAAAAAATTCCTTAACATTTGAGAAATTGAATGAAATGGGATAACATTAATGAAGATTGAAAAAGCGTGAATTGACTTTTCAAGTGAAGTTTTCGCTGCCCTTGCCGTCATGGTTGCTTTAAGGTGATGTTAAGGTAAAAACGGAAAAAAACGTGCAACAAAACACGTGCAACTTGTCCTGCAACATTGCTGAAAAACGAGTTGAATAGCAATGTTTCGCGTTTTACGACCCACATCAAACCTGTCTGGCAACAAATCAGGTTGTTAACAGGTGCGAACGTGGGTGGGAAAAGGCGCAACACCACTACTCAACTCGTTTTGTAGCAATATTGCAAAACAAGTTGCGCGTTTTTTGTTGCCCGTTTTTCCGTGCCTTTTTAGCTTGTATGTTTTAGTTTCCGATAGAGGTCCCAGGGGAACTTGACCCTTTGTCTTTTCATAAATTATGCCTACATATGCATGTGAATAAGACGAAATTTGAAAGAAACAGTTCTCTAGAATATTCATTTTATGTAAAGTATTATCACATGACCAACACATGACCTGTATATTGGGAAATAAACAAAACATATAAGCTAAAGAGGTCTCTTGTAATGCCACGCAAGATAGAGGCGTGGTAGCTTATCTATTTTTGGCCTCGTATTCAGGGTGCTCGTGGCACGGCTACATGAGCTGCACGTGCTAAGCATCAGCTTCTCAACATTTTGCATAATGCGCACATTTCTATTCGGACGCAAAAGTACCAATGTTGGCTTACATGTGGTTCAGTTCTTTTGCTTTTAATTTCAAGTTCAGAAGTTTTCTTTGCCTTCACGTGAAGTGACAACTAAGCTTTAAGGTTCCTTACATCACTGAGCAAGCTGTTTCCAAGCGACAACTGCCTAATCGAACAATGAATTTTATCGTACCATTTTAACGAAGATCATTTGAGTAATTGAACATGTTAAGTCAGGTAAGGCTTGCACTTTTATATCATTAGAATGTTTTACATACCACTTATTAACCTCGTCCGTTCGGTCATCACGGGAAATCTCAGACCGAGGCCTTGATGTATTGACAGAGCGATAGCGAGGTCAATACATCAAAGCTGTGGTCTGAGATTTCCTCTGATGACCGAACGGACGAGGTTAATAAGTTATTTATTATATAGCTTTTTCATTATGAATCTGAGCCCGCGATCAACTAAAACTAACAACTGGTCAGCGGATAAATTTAAAGCACGTTTGTATCTCGCGATACAGTCTTGTGACACTGACAGCCGTCAATTGACCATAACATGGATATCCATAAGGATGTGCGCTATCAAGTTAAACATATTCTATATGCCTTAGACACCTGTCGATGTCACTAGTATCCAGAACAGGCGCTATTTTTTCTCGTTTTTTAGGCGAGTACTAAGCGAACGAGGAACGCGAGACACACGCGACGGGGGAAGGCGTGTCTCACGCTCCACGCCCACTTTGTGTTCGCCTGAAATTCGCGAAAAAACAGGGCCTGCTCTTCAGGGTAAAAGGTCGCTGTTTCTTGAAGGTGTGGTAAATTACTTACCATTTCGCAAGAAGACATTTGAAAAGTTCATTTCAGTTACATGTTTTATTACAAGCGAATAAAAATATACCTGTACAGATACTTTGAGCACAACAGATCCGACTTGAAGTTTCTTTGTTGAAGGATCTTTGTGAACACTGGAAAAAGGATATAATCAAGACAAGGGTCAGTAACAGCGACGCCGATGAGAATAGGTACAGTCATAGCTACCTTAGTTAAAATACACAAACGGATTACTTTATCAGCCAACTTGACAAAACCCCGTTTGAACTCCCACAGACAGCTATGATGTGCATGCAAAGCAAGCTTGGGCGACCTGTGGAATTTCCATCAAGTCTGAATTTACACAGTGCCAATAAGCTGAGGTTCCTGTGAGCGGCCAAGGACACTTTTGAGAGGTGATTTTGAATTTTCTTTTGCTTCTAAGCTCAAGTTGACCCCGCAAAGAAAAAAAATCCCACTCTATTCTCTGACTGCCTAGGACATAGTACATTGCTGTGTGCCTTGATTTGTATGAAGCATAACAAAACGAACAGTCATTTTATACGGTGAAGTTTCTCCAGCCTTAACTACGTGTAGTGTTTGTGAGTGGAGCAACTTTCCTCTAGCTTCAGTCAGTAAAGGTACAATAAAACGGGCGCCAAAAATGTGCAGCTTGTCTTGCGACATTGTTGCTAAACGAGTTCAATAGCAATGTTGCGCGTTTTACCACCCGCAAATCAAACCAGACTTGCAACAAAGCAGCTTGTTGCAGGTTGCGAAAAGATGTTGTGTAGAAAGTACAGAGTAGTTCTACTTTTTGCAACAAAATCTGTCCGTTCTACTGTATCTTAACGGACACTTTTTTCGCTTTGCGGAAGGCGTCCGCTCACAAAACCTTAAATTATTACTGTTTTCACAAACACTGAAGAGTTTCGTACGGATTGAATCTATCTCCTTATTAGGCCTTACTTCCTTTACAAACAGCATCTCTCTTATTTCGGTTTGGTTTTTCCCCCTTTTTTAAAGAGACCTACCTTATAAGATCTTTATAAATTATTTTCGTCGTTTCTAGGTAAGGATTTATGTCATCTTCGTACTGAAAAAGAACACGAGATTTAGATTACTGAAGACGCCATTTTCAGTAATTTCTCTGTGCCTTAAGAAGCGTACACAGTCGAACCTACACTAACGGCCAATGGCCAGTTTTTTGGCAGACAGTCCATACATTAAGATGGAATCCACCAGGAAATTGAGTAATTTTAATTTTCAGTGCACAAAAACCTTGTACCAGAATAATTTAAAGAATATTGCATTCTTTTTTACATTTTTCAAGGGCTTAAGATGTAATAAATCATCTGTAATAACACCAAAGAACAAGTCCAAGAAAATGAAGGTCAAATTTCACAAGAACTGTGATTTCACAGCTAAAATTCTGAAAATTTCATACGTAAGATATAATTTTGTAAAATTTGACATTCATTTTCTCGGGCTTCCATGAGAAATTTTTTTTTGGGGGGGGGGTTACTACAGATGATTTATTACATCTTTAGCCCTTGAAAAATGTAAGAAAGAATGCAATATGCTTTAAATTATTCTGCTCCAAGATTTTTGTCCACTAAAAATCAAAATTACTCAATGTCCTGGTGGATTCCGTCTTAACGCTTTTTATACCTGTCGACAATGGCCACTTTCTTCTGTCCCCAAGCTGGCCGTTGTGGAGAGGTTCAACTGTAATCTCAGTGCCGTAGCAAGGTTAGATTTATTGGGGGAGGCCAATCACGAGCGCCGAAGGCTTGAGCTGCTAGGGGGGTCCGGGGGCATGCTCCACCTGAAGATTTTAAAATATAGGGTATCTGAAATAGCATTTTCAGCCTTCCGAGAGCATTAATTTCCAGCAATTTATAACTGATTTTTCCTTGATGAAGCCATAAATAAATAATTATCATGCTTTATCGAACCGAAATAAACACAGTCAACCGTAGAGCAGCGTCAAGAGCGTGGCCGCTGACCAAATTAAACGTGCCTGTCAAAATTATTGGTGGGGGGGCAGTCCCCCCGGGCCCCTCCCCATCTACAGCACTGAATTTAGTACCCTGGTAAGGCCCAGATTTTTTTTCTTAAAAATTTTCTTCGCGGCTGGCTCTCTCTTTCTCGAAGAAAAATTTTAAAAAAAAGCCTCTGGGACCAGGGTAATACTCTAGTAGCTCAAGTTGTCGGTAAAATGAAAAATGTGATCTTATGAGTGGCTGATGTAGGCTGGTTTTCTTAGCACTAGCCTGCAAAACAGGCATTTTTTTCTTCGTATTTTCATGTGAGCGAAGGCAAGCGGGCATGTTGCGAGAGCAACAAGTAACTACAGTCGAACCTCCGTGTGCGACCACCTCTCGTAAGCGACCACCAATCCAAAACACCAAAATTTTCCCTGTAAAAGCCTCACAGTTGGAACCTCTAGTAAACAACCACCTCCTGTAAGCGACCGCGACCACTTTTTGGGCCTGACGGTTTATGATTTTTCATTGACTTCATTGTTTCACCTCTTGTAAGCGACCACCACACGCATTCTCTGATAACTACAAGCTCGCCGTGTGCACTATGCTACTCAGAATATACGCGAAGAACTTTAGTGACAACATTGGAACTATACATGTCGTAACTTAGACATTGCATGCAACAAATTATCTTCCATAAAGTAGATGCGCCTGGACCTCTTCTTCGAAGAGGCCCCCTGTGGTTCGATTCTTGTAAGCGATCACCTCCCGTAGGCGACCACTTAGCTTTGCATTTTGGGTGGTCGCGATCGCTAGCCTGTGAACAGGCTCTCTGCTTTGGTATGGGGTGAAAAAATCGCGAGGAGAGGGAGGGAATAGGGTGACCTTTCCCTTCTCTCTCCTCGCGATTTTTTCACCCTTTCCCCAAACAGAGAGCCTGTTCACAGGCTAAAGTAGTTAGGAAGTATCAAAACAAAGAGACCGTGTCAAAAAGTCGTTTGTTTACTCGAAAAATCACAAGTCTGTTTTTCCTACACGGTTTTTATTCTTGTCCGGTTAGTGTCATTAGGACTAGAGTCAAAATGTAGTATAAAGAGCATGGATAGAGATAGACATTCAGCCTAAAATGCTCGCTCCGCTCGCTTAGAAGCTCGCGAGATCAACTTGTGGCAAGTCTAGCATAGATCTCGCACTTTTGTCCTTAACAAAACATATACAGTGATTTATATTGAGTCAAACCAGAAACTTATGAGTTTCTGGTCAAACGTAGTGAAAGACTTTCGTTTTCGGCTGGTTACCTCTTACTGATAATGTTTAAAATTCAACAACTTGCCAATATGCTCTGAAATTTACAGAATGTTTTAAAAAAAAAATTAACACAGTTCCGCTGTTATTATTTTCCGCGCATTTTTCCAACAATGTTGTCACTCGGGCGGGAATCGTTTACAACCAAGCGAAGCACATTATTTTGAGTTTATACAATCATAAACAAATCCTTACCCATTTACATCAAAATCGTCAGACGTTTAATCACGGTGGAACTTTGTGATTGGCCTAATAGTTTTGCGCTACTTTCTCGGCAAAGATGCGAAGCGACTTCCCGCATTACGTAGAATGCCGCGGATTGTTTCTGCTTAAACGCCTTAAAATATTTCTAAGTGGAAATTTGGACTTACTTGGCAGACTTCGCCTCCCAGGCAGAGATGCTTAAATATCAAGAAAATAAACTCATTTCTATCAGCATCACTGAAAATTGGATATGTTTCTGCCTCTTCAAGAAGTAAAACCTACAAATGGAGGAAAAGGAACCTTTGAACCTTATTTTTACTAATGCTGTCAATTTGTATAGGTAATAGCATGATTTGTCGTGATATTTGGCATAAATACCACGAGTGATATTTCGAAATTGTTATTCGTAATTTCACGAGCCATTAGGCGAGTAAATTTGAGACAATTTTGAAATATCACGAGTGGTGTTTATGCCAAATATCACGTACAAATCATGCTATTATTTGTTTATACTACTACCCGCAAAAGGTTTGTAATTTTCACATGTAGGTATTTCAAATTAAGCTGAAATACCACTGCTCTAAGCCAATCAAATTGCACAAATTTCTCATGTAGTAGTATAATAACTTGTATACAAAAGCATTCAATCAGCCGGCCATGTCAGTGAGAGAATCCAAGACAGCCTCAAATTCTGGATTCCTCGCCGTGGACTCTGGACTCCAGATACTGGATTTCGGATTCCAATTGATTGCTGGATGCCAAATTCCTTGAGCTATATTCCGGATTCGAAAGCCCAGGATTCCAGATTCCAAAAGAAAAAGTTTCCCACGAATACAAGAAATGAAGGAAATGCAGGGTTGTCATTAAGAGCCGGGGGCAGGGGATTTTCCCCGGCTACTAAGAGAGTGGCTCCCAGCTACTTTATTGGAAAATAGAAGAAAAATACAACCAAAAGAAATCCCTAGCCGTTTGATTCCCCGCCTACTTGCTGTATTTACCCGGCAACTTGAAATCTTAGTGACAACCATTAAATGAATATTAAACGGATTTGATTCTACAGAAAGTCTGCTGCATCTAGCAGGCTTAACATCTTGGAAAGATAAACATACAAACTATTGTTTTCACAGATAAAATTATCACGGACACTAGAGTAAAGTAAAAATAAAAAGTAAGTCAAAAGTTCACAAAAGACTTCAACAAATTTATTGTTAAGTTTAAAATGATTTCTAAAAACACTTCAAAAACTACATGAGATGCTTCTCTTACAACATGAGAGATAGCAAATAAATATAAAAGGTCAAAAGGCTAAGCAAAGGACTAAAATATTTTGATTACAAGCTCTAAAAACAATCTTTACACATGGTCATTGCAGTAGGATCCCTGAAAACACTGGTGAGGTAGCAGGTTTAACAAACCTACTTATTATTGTTACAACTTACCTTTCTAAGTTCATCAGAGATGACAAAGTCTTCAAAATATTCATCAAAACACTTTCTAATGCTTCCTGATTCTCTTACAATTCCTTTCAAGATTTTAATTTGGAAAGAAATTAGAAAAAATAATTATTCCTGGACTCAAAGTAAATACAAAAGGAATTCATGAGGCTTAATCTGAAAATCTTACAAAACCAGGCTAACTTTTAAATACAAAGTATAATAAACAAACAGATTTTCTCGATTTTGTTGCAAAAATTTTCATTTTTTACTAGTACACATGTACCATAATAAACGTATAATGCTTAAAATAAAGGAAATTGGAGGTTACTGAGAAATTACACATTCAAACCTTGATCTTGAAGTCTGTCGAAGAATTCCATGGATGTAACAGAACAGGAAACAAGCTCAGCCATCACAGAAGAGGGTTTAATGTCTAGGGAATAAAAAATGATCATGTTCAAGGGCAGAAGCAGGTATCTTTGATCAGGGCAGGGGAGGGGGGGGTCTAAAATTGTTTAAACTAGAAAGTAATTTCCATTCTTAATAATAATTTTTTATGTTCATATGTTAACAAGCCCACCATTAAATAACATAAATGAATGTTATATGTGATCCTTCGATGGTACCAATTACTTTTTCAGAGTACACTGTACGTAGTCCATTTCCCATCCCATTCCCTCACACACACCAACAAACCACACACTGATCTTGATGTTAAGTTAATTCAGCTGCAATTTGTTTTCATCAGAACTGTTTGACACTGTTCCAGTTCAGGGAAAACAGAACTTTCCAAGTGTTACATACAAGTGAATCTATTGTTTTACCTGAAATAATAGCCACACTGGTAAATCATTCTTACTAAAGGTTTTTTTGCAATGACTCCAGGTCATGTTTCCAAGGACTCTATACTTTTAAGAACATGTGGAAAGTATCCATTAGGAAGAGACCTTCCAGTTAAATTATCATCCAAGCATTAATTTATTTTGTTTTAAGTCATTTATTTTGTTTTAATTTATTTTGTTTTAATTTACTTGTGCAATACATTCTGATCCACTTGCTTCTTCATTTCCAATAAAGTGTGACCTCATTTTTAAGTTATAAGACTAAGTAATACAGAAGGTCCCACCTCACAAATTTCCTCTAAAATTCTAGGATTCAAAAAAAAATTGCTAGGGTAATTTCATCCACGAGGAAAAAGGCTTGGTGGGTGACTAATGCTGTGGACTGAAAACTGGTTTTAATTCATTAAAAATAACTCACGCAGAGACAGCAAACAATTATACATGATCTTAATTTTATTTTCTGGGTTTCATTACTTACTTAAAGGACCCCAATTATCATTAGAGGACACAACCTGAAACAAGAAAGGCATAAAATCTTCAGAATTAAAGTATTTTACTGAATGGAACCAGTACCAGAAAGTAACTCACCCAAGTTTTATGTTAAGAAGCTTTGTCTTCTTATATACATTTTTGAGAGAAAAGATACCTTTTTAGTACATCCTGCACTGAAATATGCTACACTGATATTCTCAGGAGTGCCTCTTCTCACTTTCATGCATTTAGCATTTAGCAAATCAAACTGACACACCCATAAGATATCTCTGTTCATAATAGTTTTAAATACTTAAAGGTTCTTTTAAAAACCTAAAACAACATATATCCCTACCCTTACAATATATTTTGATGCATGAAATCCTTACCCTTTAATATACCTGAAGCCAAAAAATGGTTCCCCTTGTAGGCAGAGCCTTCCTGTATATCATGCCATTAAAGATGGTATAAAGTACCCCGTTTACCCTCAGAACAAACTAAACTACTTCTTACTAATCGTACAGAACACCAACCTGAAGACTGGAAACAACAGCAGGATCTTGAAAAAAGTCCTTTAAAAAAAAAGAGAAGCCAAAGTAGTTAGGTAATAATTTGTCATCACTTTATACTGTAGGATCAGAGTCAGAGCCAGTTTTTTGGGATATTCACTGTACAGTGATTTTTTTAAAATTGGTTATTTGTTATATACACATATTTTCTTTTCTGCTTGGATATATTGAGGAAAATTAAGTGGGGGAGGGGCAGTTGAAAAAATTGGTTGATTACTTCAGGTATAATTATAATAATGGTTTGCTATTAACTCTCTAGGCCACCCTGTAAGAATACAGTACAATCGTACATACACAATACGGATCATTCAGTATTGAAGCCAGCTTAAGTTTGGTAGTAAGGTCCCTTCAAAGAAATATAACTTACCAAAACAAACTTGTCTTTTTGATATGCCTGAAACAACTGGTCATACGAGAACATTTGCGATTTACTTCTTCTTATCATTCCCCTGCAAACAGTGATATTTTTTCTTTTTTAAAGAGATGCACTCTCTTTCCAGTTACCTACCCAACACAGGGATGTAGCTTAAATTCATAACAGACAGAAAATGGCATTTGATGGGCAGGTAATATGAGAAGAAAACAGTTGCCTTTTTAAAGACTGCAATTTTTATCAACCAGAAAAAAATACGTTGAGAGCCGGGTATTTTCTCAAGCTCCAGGCTATTTTTGACATCCCAAAGACCAAGAAATCTCTTTTGACAGTTTTCTCAAGCTTCTCTGCGTAAAACTGAACATTTGGAAAAATAGCTTTTGGAAACAGTAATAATACACCTGCCAACAGTCATGCATTATGCGTGAGTCTCACTCCTTTGGCATTAAGACGTCGTTCTTATGCATCAAGGACCATTTCTCACACCTGACTCACAAATCCAGATGAATTGTTCTTTAACACATGATTTATATATTGTTGTCTTTTAAATAGCTTTGGAAGTGCTCAAAGGACAATGGAACCTCTTTAGAAACTTTTGGCAACATTCACAAGTCTTCAGAGAATCATCAGAAATCTTTGCAAGCTGCTGGGACGTTTTCAGAAATCGCGGTCATTACAAGGCAAAAATCTCACGCATTTGACCCAGAAAATAGTTGGCAGGTACATAATAGTAAAATACCTTTCAACATCTCCTTCAACACGCATTTGTGACTTGTGGGTTCTTTTTTGTTGCTATTAATTTGTTAGAATATATGCCATTGTTTTCTTCACTATTTTTCTTTGATTTTGATATTAGGGATAGATCAAAAATTAACCCTTTAAGCCCGAATATCCTCATATAAACTCTCCATACTGATCTTCATTCTTTAAAGAATTAGTTGAGAGACTTTGATAACAGATCAAAGCTTTTCTCTTTAGTGATCACTTTATTAATTCTTATAACCATTTCTCTTGGCAACATATGGATATTGTTAGGAGAAAATTGATGTTGGTCACTATTGGGACTTAAGGGTTAACCCTCTCTCGGGGTACACCGCTCTGAGAAAGATAAATTAATGATGGTTCTCATACGGTGTCCATCTTAGAGAGGGTTGATTATATTCACACCTTAACATTGTTATATTGAATGGTGAACTAAGAGACAGACTTTCCAGAGACACATAACTGGAGTCAGCATCAAAAAAAAATCCAGATAGTTATCAGTAGTTGGATTGTGAAAGGTAGTTGGATTATATGTCAAGACAAACCATCTACGAGGAACGGGGAGTTACTAGATACGACAAATCATCCAATCTTAATAACAGCCAGTCTCTTTGTCTGCCTGGATTATTTGGATTTTTTGTGTCTTAAGTTAAATGACAAAAATTGAACATCGTTAGAACGCGATCCAAAACTGCAAACTGTAACATGTATGATTCAGTGGCCGCCACCAACGTACCAATTACTTTAACGGCGATTTTTGTGCTGATAATATACCATGGAGTTCTTAAAACTGTTTTGAACAGTCAAAAATCGTTAGGAATTAAATCATAAAACTTAAGAATTAAGCTTATCTGAGTGAAAGACGGAGACAAGTTCGCGTGTATTTGCAAAAGTACTTTTTCGAGTATGCGTTCAATCTACGCTACCATTTCGCAAAAACATTTTTTGAACTTACCATTTCATAAAACGTTCTTTTACATCAGCAGATTCAAATCCTGGAAAAGTTTTGTTTGGAACGCACTGAAACATAAAAGTCTTCTCGTCGTCCGCCATTTTTGTTTGGAACATGCCAGGGGTGCATGACGGGATTTGTTGTTAGTTACTAGGCCTTTCTCGATTGCGCTCGGTATTAAACTTTCGAGCAACTTTTGGCGTTTGGAGCAACTTTTTTCGGTTCCAGCAACCTCGAGCAAATTTTGCCTTTCTGAGCTACTTTTGATATCAAGCAAGAAAAAGTCAACGATTTCATAGAAAACTTTAATTTTTTTAATTGTTTTCAGCGGAGCTCTCGCGCGCGAAGCGCGCGCAGCGGAGCACTATGAGTAAGCAAATGTGGTAAAATGCCCATCCGAGAAAATTTGGTAATCGCGTGACCGTACATCAACCGACCGACCAACCGAAAGTCCGTCCGCACCACAGGCATACCAATGTAAAATAATTTAATCAACAGGTATGGCAACCGAAATGCAACTCAAGGTTTTATTTGGAAAGAAATCGCATGGCCGCCTGGACTTTAAGAAAGAAAAAACAACAGCAAAGTGGTGTCTTTTTCGACGTTATTTTTGATGTTTACACTCAGGCGGATAACAGAGAAAGAGCTAGAGCGAGTGATTGCAAACAAAAGAGACGAATTTTTAGTAAGAACAAAATGAAAATTCAAAGCGGCGGTAAGACAATGAGAAATTTTAGCGGCGTAAGGTGAAAATGAGGGGCAGTGAAAAATAAAAGTTACATGAACACAGGAGACAAAATATTGGATAAGTACGTGCGACAATTCCTCCATAAAAATAATGTTTAACTAGGAAGTTTTACGATTTAGTCCGACAAAACAGCGTTGTAGTTGTGCAAAACAACGGCAAAGGAAGAAAAAAGCGTGCTGCACGTGCAAATTTGCTATTTGGTTTTTTGCTAATTAGATCTATTGATCTTGATACCATTTTCATTGCCGTCCCCGTTTAGCATTACACGATTTAATTTTTTTTGTTTATAAGTATTATTAACCAGAGCTTCGATTTTAGCCCTGGCTAAATCTATATATATATATTTTTTCTTGACCGATGTTGGTAACTACTGTGAAGAACGAAAAATAAAGCTTTAAATTAACGTTGATATAAAAATTATCAAGAAATTTAGGTGGCAACTTTTGAAATTTGGGTAGAAACTTTTTGGATTTTTGGCAATTTTTTGGGAACTTTTTGGCATTCCAGTGATCAACTTTCCAGCATTTTACGAGCACAATCGGAAAAAGCCTATCGCCTACTGCCGTTACTTTGGTAACGAGGTTGATCAGGCGAATGCGAAGTCGATCGTCGCTGACGTTAAGATCAAGAGGCCCTGAGGTTCAGAAGTCCCAAGGCGGTCAGGCCCCCTCAATGTTCCCGTGTTTCATGCCCTTACATATAGGATAATGCCTGAACTCTGAGACCTTCTTAAAAATAATGGCCGAGGGTCATTACTGCACAGCCTGGTTCGTAACAATCACGTGTAAGAATCTTCCTAAACGAGGAGGCGTGTATGGGTATGGTAAAAAAATATATCACTTGTATATATTACACGTATGGTTTTTTAGGTCTCAGTTCTTACAAAGTGTGCTAGTGTAAAGAGGGTACGTTTTTGGTTTTATTGTTTTTTTTTTTATAATTAGGGTACCAAAAAATCACAGGCCCCTGAAACCTAAACTACCTCGTTGTAAGTGTCTATGAATACTGCAGCAAAGACAGTTACGGTGTTGTTATCAGTTGAGATCTAAAAAATGACAAAAACTGATGCCGTTATCAGTGTGTTTCACTGTAAGACAGGTCTTACCAGTAGAAATCATAAATGAATTTTTTACAAATCCGTCTAAAATTCCTACTGCTTTATGTAATGTAAAAATTTCCACATTTTTTCGAGCCTTTTGTAACATTTTTAATGCAACATCCTTATAAGGTAATGCATCGCCACCCACTTCCACTACGTCGAACGTCATCGATTATTGGTGTGACGCATGGCAACAATCGTATGTAAATCGTGGTATCAGACTTTCGGCACGTGCTCAAGTGTCTGATATTTTTACGGATCACGTTTCGTGATTTGTGCACGTGGGTTGTGTGAGGTAAGCATTTGAACTCGACTTGATCGCGCCTTGGAAAGAGCCAACCTGCAGGTGACTCCGGTCAGCTGGAATTGGTAAGGTTTAGGTTCTTAAACACCGTACTCCAGCGAATTTGGTATGTACAGTCGCTAATAGGCAAGCCTTCGGTCGGCTGCTCATTCGGTCAAAATAAAAATCCCCTCAGGCATTGACAACGATATCCACTTCACTCACTCAGCTTAATATCACACGAGTACCGACTTATGACTTTGATCCAAACAACATTTCATGCCTTTTAGGTGGTGGGTCACAACTTTTCTCGTCTCATTTTCATTTCCATCAGTGCTTCACAACTTAACAAAACCAAGAGAGAATGAGCTAGTGTCTCAATTGGGGGCCGCTCAAAATAGCTTTCAGCCTGCTAGCATCCGTCCCTGAATAGTCTAAAACCGTTTTCCCCCGAATTTCTTTTGCACCCGGCCCCAGTTGAAAATTTCTTCAGAGAAGGCTTCTGGCATTCGCCACAAGTTCCACCGTTTTAATACGTTTCAAAGAATCAGTCTCGACATGCTCAATTTATCGTCGCTCCTTTATAACAATCAGTCTATTTCCCTTTTTTCTTTTTTTTTTTTCGCGATTAGCGGGCGACTGCTGTTGTGTTTTTGGCGACGGAGCCGCGTGAAGGTGGGGCAAGCCCAATTGAGATCTCGCTGCTTTGCCCGCTCGCTTCGTGTGACGGTCCACCGCCAAGAAGACTAACCCCGGTCACAAGAATCTCGCCAGCTACGCAGGCTACTATTTCTCCCCCTTTTTTTCCCATTTTTTTTCCTTTTTTTGTTATACTTAGATGACCGAAAACTACAACAGATCTGTTAACGCGGAATATCAAAGTCTAACTAAACCTGAACATGACTGAAATTGATCCCGGCTAAGATTTTCGTGTCCTTCGCTATCCAGATATCTAGCACAAACAATCATGTTTTTGTCGGTAAGATAAAAAGAAGAAAAGAACAAAGAGATTTTAAGAGTGTAGACAAAATGCAATTCACGCTAAGATGCGTTAATTAGCTGTTTAAAAGAGATGTAAACACCGTAATGTACAAACACTAAACTGAGTTGTTTTTTCTCGAGCCGGGGGTATCCCTTGATTCTTCTGCTTGTCCGTTGATAACGTAATCTTACTTTTTAAAAACTTTCCATATGGAGATCGGTAGATCAGCAACCATCATAAAAGTCCTGTTGGTTTTCTTTTTTTTTTACTGTATACGTGACATGCAAACAATAGAGAAAGCGCATTGTAATGTGCACTGTTCAAAACAACGAACACGCAAGAGCAAGTAGGTTCCCACAGCAACGGAGTCAAAGTAGGGTATCCTTCAATCGATCAATCAATCAATCAATGATAAGTCTTTCAGCTTTATGCAAAAAATAAAAACCGTAAGAGAATAAACAACCAACAATCAATTACATTGTTGAGCTAAAATCTCACTGATTGTAAACAAAGTTTTAGAAACCGCAACTTAAAATCTCTTAATCAAAGGGATACATTGTATTTCACTAAACAACTTGACCTTCATTTTTCCCGTGGCTAAAAACTTTGTAAGAAGCCGTTTAGTTGCACTTTTAATACTCTGTGCATTGTTTCCAGTGACCAGTGGAGTAATTAATACCACACTTGATAGCCTGTTCCAAGCGTTCAGATAGTGGAGAGCGGTGCGAAGTAAAAATAGCGATGAAAAGTAGAGGGGGACTGGGGAGAGCTTTTATTTTTTCGCGCTCCTTTTTTCTTCGCACCGCTCCCCACTATCTGAACGCCTGGAACAGGCTACACACCTGACGGTCACATTTCAACTTTATCACAGTCATCTCAACCACAAGTAAGGTACTTGTACGGCGGGTGACAGACATACCCACTCAGAAAATTTTGTGACTCTCTCAGTATGATTTGGAATACAGGTTAGGAGGTGCTCACACTGCAGCGTGACTGGCAAATGCAAATCTGGTAGATTAATCCTTTAATTAATTAATTAATTAATAAATACCAAACCGTTAGAGTTTTATGATCATTCATTTCATAAACAGGAGTCACAAAATACTGCCTCGGGTCAGGTGTTGGCCATTATGCCAGAATTCGTTATTCATAGGCAATCATAGCTATTCAACGCATAAAACGGAGACAGTTCAATAAATGCTCACATCGGTGCGGTTCACTCAGAACCCTTTCTTCCCTAAACTACTGTTTATCAGCAGTCGGAACAAGTTCCGTTAAGAGCCATAATGGCTCTTGGTTTCGTACGATACCAAATATATTGAACAGGTTAGGGAAGTGTTTAGACTTACGTATTATTCCCAAGTTGAAAAACGTGTAACTGGTAACGCCTGTACGTTCTGTGGAAAAAAACGTAATTGTACGACCAGGGACACTCAACTTAGATCACACTGCTCTGGTACCTGCCATTCGCTCTTCCAGTGTTGTTTTGTAATGGTTTTTCAGTCAGATGACTGTCCAGTTTCGAGGCCAATATTGAAAGGGAAAAGGACGTCGAACACAACATGTCAACGTTCAAGTGTCCCGAGTTTTAATGTCACGAATTGTAGTTTAGTCTGCAGGCGAAGGAGGGTACTAGAACAGACAGAGGGCCCACCTCAAAATAGTCAGGATGGTGTCAGTTTTACATCCCAGTTCTCCATTATTAAAAGATCGTGTCTCCGATGTCATTTCTTATACTGCCTGTTCAGCACTGAAAGGGGAAACAAGTACAAGTATTTGAGGGTGTTCATCAGTTTGTCTGAAAATACGAGCTCTCCGAGAAACGCGCGGGTGAGAAGAAATCGCTTAAATCTCAACGGATCGGAAAAATAACCACACACCAAGCAAGAACACTCTATTGAGTTAGAGTTAAGCTTTTTCCCAATGAGTATTCCAACGATTACTAGCTTTCTTAAATCTATTACCTGAATTCCCATTCAAATCCTTTGA